ATTTAGGCCAGCCGCAACTGAGCACATGAGCGCGGGTTACGGTATTGCGGTCCCACGACGAATTTCGCAGCCGCCCCTCAGTTCATAAATAGCACCCATTCACGGGAAGCATAAATTGTTCTTGTGTCCTTTGATAAGCTCAGTGTTTGAATGTAGTTGGGGGAGAGGGGGGGGGGGGGGGTCTTCTTTGCAATTAAGAATTTGAATAAAACTAAGCTTAGCGGTTTCTCCAAGACTCACTTCTCCTTTCGACTTCTTTACTTCCTATCTTAATGATGTAGCTGTATGGAACCCCTTCGACCCTTCGAAGGGCTCCTTACATTTTCATTAATGTAATAAGAAGTGAGGAAATCGGAGGAAAAGTGGTCCTTTTGAAGAATTACAATAAAACTATTGAATTGTTGGTTTGGAGAGTTGTTGACGTGAAATTTGTTTTAGCAGAGGTAGACAGGCTTTGTAGCTTTTTTAGTTATTACTTCGAAAAACTAGAGAAAACTTCTGCTTGCATTACATTTACTGGAGCTGTTTCACTCTAACAAGGAAGGTCTTTCAGGGCGTGGGACGCTTTTTGAAAATGGTTTTTTGCATGGTGTAGGGGCATGAGCACTGAGTATATAACTATGGCCTTCTGAATGCTAAAAAAGGAGTGAAAATGATTTTGCCAGGAATTGCCGTTTAAACCCACTAAGCGTCAATGGCCTTCTGAATGCCAAAAAAGGAGTGAAAATGATTTTGCCAGAAATGGCCGTTTTAACTCATTAAGCGTCATTCGTTTCATTCATGGCGTCGACTATCCGCACTATAGAAGGGGAAAGCCGAGGCGACATTGAAAATGACGTGAACGGTAGTCAAAAAAGGGACCCACATGTTGAAAAGTGCAGGGAAGTTTCATATAGGCTCTCCACGGTTAAGCCGCCAGCAACGTCTAATGGTGTGGTGGATAGCGATGTGGACTTCGAGGAAGGACGAATAGGATGGGTTGATGGTTCAAAATTTCCAGGCTTCGGCGTTT